CCACCTCAGTGCCCAGTTAGAGGCTGGGGGGCTGGAGAGAGAGGACAGCACGTTGGGTGCTTGCCTTGTTCGCAGCTGATCTGGGTTCGAGCCCCAGTACCCTGAGCACTGCTGGCAGTGACCCCTGAGCACGGAGCAAACAAACAGAACAGATGCAGTTCAGGGTGAACTGCAGTTAGCTGATTCCTAACAGACTGGGCAGCAGCTGTGGCCGTGCCCTGCTTCTGTCAGAGCAAAAACAGCGACGTAATTGGTAACCACGCCTCGTATGTGCAAAGTCCCAGGGTCCATCTCTGGCCTCTCATGGTCCCCTGAGCACTAACTGGAGAGGCCCCACACTGAAAAACCAATAATTTTGGGACCAGAGAAATAGCACCGTGGGCAAGGAGCTTCTATTGCGTACAGCTGCCTCGGGTTCAAGCTCAAGCACCCGACTTGGTCCAACGAGCCCCGCCAGAAGTGACCCCTGAGCACAGAGCCAGGAGCAACCCCTGAGCACCACTGGGTGTGGCCAAAGTATCAGTCAACGAAACAGATAAAAGTCTGTGTCTTTCTAGAGGAGAAAAACCAGAAGTGTCTCACTTGAGAAAGTCAAAAGACCCAGTGAGTGGGGCCAGAGAGATGGTTCAGTGGTTAGGCACTTGCCTTGCACTCCACCAACCCATTGATCCCTAGAACTGCATATGCCCTCCACCCCCAAGACCACCAGGAGTGACCCTTGAGCACAGATCCAGGTGCAGCACCAACACCAAAGGAAAGCAAAACAAGCTGAGCAGGAAACTGGGACCCTGGGGTCACTGGCTGGACATCAGCCTCGCTAAGGCAACCAGGGAGAGAGACGGACGCCAGCCCTCAAGGGCTTCCTGCAGCACGTCTGCCTCAGCAGCAAGAGAGCTTGGCGGGGATGCTTCCGTGGGAGAGAGTGAGGCCCTGGGTCCCATCGCCAAGGCCGCCCCAAAGGCGCATCTCCGCCTGGTCAGTGGTTGCTCCTGTGCCCCCGTTATCAGCACAGCCCAGGCTCCTGGTGAGGGACTCAAGCGCCCTGGGAGCGGTTTTACCAGTCCCTAGAGGGGAAGGCATCACTACCCAGCACGGAGCTCTCCCGTGTGCTGGAGACAGGGCCCACGCCCCCAGGAGAGGGAACAAGGGATGCCAGTTAAGGGCACTTTCTGGTTCCAAACTGGAGCCGTGGTCCCAGAGAAGCTTGTCCAACCTGTAAAGTGCAGCTAATCTGCCTCTTCCTCCTCTTCCTCCTGCAGCGGGGTCCTGGGGGCCAGTGCAAGCCGGACCAAGGACAAGCTGCGAACAGTCACGCTCTGCGCCCAGGAGCCCTCTTCTCAATAGCGGCCAGGCAAGCCACGCGGCCACTGAGGCAGGCTGAGCGCTTCCCCAGAGGGGGCGACTCCCCTGCACTGCTTTCCGCCTGGGCTGGCCGCAGGACCCTCCAGCAGCGGGGGAAGGAGGGTGCCCTTCTTACCCCACCCCCACCGCCATCACTGGTCACTGCCAGGCTTTTGGTACGTGTCATTCTCACTGGTGGAAGATGATGTCACTGTCATTTTTATTTGGTTTCCCTAGCAGTAAGAGCCAATGGGCACCCCCATCTGTAAGCCACCCGCAGGGCTCTGACATGCAGAAAGTCACTGTCACCGTCCTCCAGTTGTTCATCGATTTTGCTCGAGCAGGCCCAGTAACGTCTCCATTGTGAGACTTGTTGTTACTGTGTTTGGCATATCAAATATGTCACGGGGAGCTTGCCAGGCTTTGCTGGGCGAGATACTCTCGGTAGCTTGCCGGGCTCTCCGAGAGGGGCAGGGGAATTGAACCCGGCTCAGCCGGGCTGGCTGCACACAAGGCAAATGCCCTACCGCTGCGTAACAAGTCTCATGATGACATGCAGAAAGGGAGCAACAGTCACATGAAGCAGAATGGGACAGTCAAGCCACAGAGCTGAGTTTGGGGTGAGGAGAGATTGGATGGGATGGAGGAGGGGGCTTGGGACACTGGTGAAGGGACAAGGGCACTCTGGTGGCGGGCGTGATCCCAGGACGACGCAGGCATGAAACCACCATTAATCGTAAATCCCACCAGCTCCATGCCCGGGATGGCGGGGGAAGCTTGTGGGAGCCGACCCCGACCTCCTCTTAGGCCTGTGTCCAGTGTTGGGGGACCCCCGCCCTTCTCTCACTGTTTCAAGTCAAAGTCCCTCCCATCCCTGCCCCCGCCTGAGCATGTGTGTGGGGGGTGGGGGCAGAGACCTGGGCCCTGGGTGGGAGTTGGGTTGCCTTGAAGTCCAACCAATGCCTAGCACCCCACTTCCGAATCTGTGGAGGTCTGGGAGGGGGTCACACTGCTGTGAGGGCCGCACACAGGATGCACGGCTAGGGTGAGTGTCTCTTAACACCCAGGATGATGGGTGTCAGGCGCTTGGTGGCCTCAGGCCGCCTAGGTAGCAGCGTCCCCTGAGCCCAGAGCCAGGAGTAAGCCCTCAGCACCCCCAGGTGTGGCCCAACCCCCCGAGGCTTCCTCTGACGGAATGTGTCAGTTCCACAGCCACCAGCTCCCAGCCGCACGGTTCTGGGGCCCTTCGACATACGGACGGGACTGGGCGGGCAGGGACTGCCAGGCCACAGCACTGAGGACAATCTCTGATGTGGGGATTGCATGGGGCTGCCTGCTGGCCAGGGCGGGTGCATGACCGGGCTCGGGAAGGCAGCCACGGGGAGGCTCTGTCGGTCACAAGCCTCTGCTGCCACCAGCCCTGGGTGGCCGCGGTGTGGGAGAGCGGTCCTGAGGTGTCCATGCGCAACGGAGGACAGGGCAAACGCTTTTGTGAGGGACGATGGAATGTCCCTGGACACCTTCTGGGCATCGGTGTCCGGCTGTGCCTGCCCGAGGCAGGAGATAAGCATCTCACATGCAGAGACAGGGACAGACGAGAAAACAGTTGATTTGCCAGACCGAGTTCGGACCCACTCCCAGTGTCAGCAGAGCGTCAATGCGCCCCCAAAGGCTGCACCCTGAGACAACAGAATCCCACAGGCCCCCTCCACTACAACCTCCTCCCCCTTCTCACGGCCCCCTTCCTGCTCTCTGTAAATAAGTAAACTATTTTTTTTGCTCTTTGGGTCACACCCAGCGATGCTCAGGGTTACTCCTGGCTCTGCACTCAGGCATTACCCCTGGCGGTGCTTGGGGGACCCTATGGGATGCTGGGGATTGAACCCAGGTCGGCCACATGCAAGGCAAATGCCCTCTCCGATGTCCTATCGTTAACTTTTTTTTTTTGAGGGGTTTGAACCCTACCAGCGGTGCTCAGAGCTGCTCCTGGTTCTGTGCTCAGGGATCACTCCCAGCAGGACTCAGAGGCCCATGCATGGTACCGGGGAGACCAAGCTCAAGCTGGCCACCAGGTTCTGATCTAGCAAAGACAAGAAATGATTCTCTTTTTGCACAGAGAGAAGCAAAAAGCTACAAATTAAGTAACTGGAATTCTTTCTGGGGGAAGGCTCATGAGCAGTGCTCAGCGGGCACTCCAGGGGATGATGCTCAGCTTGGAGTTGCTGGGGCCCACAAGGACACCCCAGAGCAGCCCGAGGGCCAAGGAGTCTCAGGGACGGAGCACCCTGGCATGCGCTCCAGCCTGGAGACCCAGCTGAGCCAGAGGGAGCTGGAGGTGACCCTCTCACTCCAGGCGCTGTGGCACGTGTGAGGGGTACAGGTGGGCAGGGGGAGGGTGTCCACAGGGAAGAGGCGAAGCGCCTTGGTCAGCCGGTGAAGCGGCAGGAAGGGGGGGGGGGGTGCTGTAGGAATCTGCACCCCGGGAGGTGGCCCGGTCAGGTGGGGAACGCAACGTGCGTCCCTCTGGGTGCAGATAGAGGTCGCCCTGGTGTCCGGCGGGCCTGGCCTGCCGCTGAGGGTCAGGAAGCCCCTCCGGGACGCCCTCCACCCGGTGTCTGGGGGCGACAGCTTTGCGGCACTCGCCGGAAGTGCCACAGGGCCCCGTTGAGAGCGAGGTGGGCGGGGAGTGGGGGGCGGAGATGTCACCAGGAACCCAGAAGTCACGTGTGCCTGCAGGTCCAACGGACCTTGTCCCTGCCCACTTGGGACGCCGGGTAGCCCCGGCCCCCCGCACGCGCGGAGCCTCCCTGGATCCCGCCCGCCTCCCCCCTGCAGGAAGGGTGGGGCGCACCTGCGGAACCGGCGCTGGCCACCTGCCGGGGCTCCACCCCGACCGCGGGAAAGAAGGGGCCCCGGGGCGGCCGCCCCAAGGGCTTGGTCTGTGGACAGACGGGCCCGGCCCGCTGCTCGGCCGGGGGTCAGCGGGCCCCCACAGCCGCCCCCGGCATTTCTGGGCCCACGTGGCGCCGAGGCTGGAGCCCGGGTCTGGCCCACGCTGGCCCGGCGCCCTCCCCGCGCCCCGGCTGCGAGGGGCCCGCGAAGCGCGGTGGCTGGGGTGGCGCCGGGTGAAGGTCCGCCCTGACCCGAGCCCACCCGAGCGGAAACCCGCGGGTGGGGCCGAGCGGGCGACCCCGGCGCCGAGCGGCCCCCCGCCCCCTGTCCGTCTCCCGGGGTGACCCAACACAAACGGAAACAGCAGGAAAAAGCCAGCCGCAGGCTCCCGGGGCGTTTTCAGAGCCCGGGAGCCGCCAGGGAGGCCCCGGGGCCGGGTGGGGTGGCCGGACACAAGAGTCCCCAGCCCGGGTCGGGGGCGCTCGGGACCCCGGTAGAAGCCCCGTGGGGGGCCGGGCGCGCGCCCGTGCGGGGACGCTCCCCGGGGACGCGCCCGGGGCGCCCCGCGCGCCCCGCCCCCGCCTTCCGGCCCGCCGCGCGCGCCCCGGCGCCCCCTCCCCCGGCCCGGCCCCGTTCCCACCCCCCTCCTCCCGGCCAGCCCTTAATCCCCGCCCCCGGTCCCCCCCGCACCCCCGCCCCGCCCCGCGCGCCGCCGCCCTCCCGAGCGTCCCCGCCGCCGGCTGCGCCCACCGCGCCGCGCCGCGACCATGAGCCTGGTGGGCGCCGGGGGCCCCCCGAGCAGGTGAGCGGCGGCGGCGGCGGGGCGGGAGGCGCGGGGCCGGGGCGCGGGGCGCGACGTGGCGGGACCCCCACGGGCGCGGGGCCGGACAAAGCGTCTCCGGCGCGGGGCTGCGGCCGCGGGAAGCGCCGCCGCGGGCCCGACCCGGGACCCGACCCGGGACCCGACCCGGCAGGTGCGCGCGGGCCCCGGCTCTCTCCGGCGCGCGCGGGCGCGGGCGCGGGCCAGGGCCAGGCGGTTCCCGGGCGGCGGCCCCGACGCGGCCCCGTTTCCCGCCGCCCGGCGGGACCTGAGGCTGCCCCGGGCCCGTTGGGGGCCCGCTGGGTGCCCGGCGGTGCCGGGCGCGACCCCACACCCGCGCCCGGGGAGGGGGTCGGTTGGAAACGCGGGAGTCCTCCGAGCGGCCGGGGCCGGGGGCAGCACCGGCTGGGCAGGACCTCGGGCCCGCTGCGCCCTTCCGCGCCCAGATGGCGGGTTTTCTGGCCTTAGAAATAGACTCGCCCCTCCCGATCGACGTGACGGGGGCCGCGGCACTGGCCCGCCGGGGGTCCCCTGAGCTCCACCAGGAGTGAGCCCTGAGCAGCCCTTTACCCCCACCGAGAGCCGCATGCGGCCGGCGGGGACGCCCCAAGCCCCAGGCGAGTCCCCGGGAACCCCAGACCTCCTCCAGGGCGAGGGTTAAACAGCACTGGGGAAACTCCAAGGAAGACGCTTCGCGCCCTGCCCTTTCCGGAATGAAGGTGGAGGGCTGTAGAGGTGGTCCAGTGGGTGGGCCACCCGCCTTGCACGCTGATGGCCCGGGCTTGACCCCAGGTGCTACTGGGAGTGAGACCTGAGCATCTTGGGGCGTGGCCCCCCAGCAGACAGGCCCCCCCCCCCAACAGAACCAAAGGAGAGTTCACGGGCATCCTTCTGCGGAGCTGATACTGGTGTGCCGGGTCACCTGCTTGGGTCCGGGCTGTGGGCTCTCTCCTCTCACTCAATGCCAGCCCTTCGAGTCGCCTGCCCACTCCCCAGATGGCCACCAAGCCCCTCAGCCCTGGGCCCGGGGCATCCTTGGGGAGTGTCCAGCACTCTGCCATTCCCACCTCTGGGCTGTTTCTTACCGGCTTTTGTATTGTTTGGGTGCTCCTGCCACAGTGCTCGGGAGTCGCTCCTGGCAGTGCTGGGGGAATCCTGCAGCACTGGGATCGAACCTGCGTCTCTGCGTTCATGGCTTGCACTCAGGCTGTTACTCTAGCCTCTGTTTATTGCCGATTGTAAAGCCCGAGTTCTGCAGCTGTCGTTGTTTATCAGGGAACTGGGGTCAGGAGGGCAGCACCAGCTCTCCTGTGCTCAGGGACCTTGAAGTGGGGCTGGAGCCTCACCCACGTGCTCTAACCCCCTTGAGCTTGTTTTTTTTTTTTTTTTTAATGTGCAATCTTATAAACCTCTCAGGCCAGGGTAAACCTCTCAGGCCAGGGCCACGGCTCCACACAGATGCATGTACCAGTCACCCTCAGGACTCGAGCAGGTGGTCAGCTGGAGTCAGGCCAGTGCCAGGCACCAACTGCAGGGGACAGAGGGGGATCTCTCCTCAGGCATCAGGACAAGAAGGAGCCTGGTGCTTCTCGGCCCCTCCGTTGGGGCTGAGAGGCCAGGCTGCGGTGGGAAGGTGGGCTAAGGCCTGGTTACTGGAGGAGAAGGACCATTCATTTGAAGAGTTCTTACTATAGAAAGTACAATTTTAGGAGCCGGTGCAATAGTGCAGGGGGGTGGGGGAGGGGCGCGTTTACGTTGCATGCAGCCGACCTGGGTTTAATCCCGGCATCCCATAGGGTCCCCTGAGCACCGCCAGGAGTCATTCCTGAGTGCAGAGCCAGGAGTGATCCCTGAGCATCGCCGGGTGGGACCCAAAAAAGCCAAAAAAAAAAAAAAATTTACATGAAGTAAGATTATATATAAAACGATAAAATGGTGAAATTAGGATCAGGTTATAAAACAAATTTTCTTTCTTACAGCGATGATCAGAGTGCCTCTTCAGAAGACAAAGGTATGGACCTGCTGCTGCATTTCACAAAGCCAGTTTGTCCTCGGTTTTATTGTGGTTGACATTTAGAAAGCAAGAATGCTGGAGATAATGACAAATTTCCAGAACAAAAGATTGTTTTTCAACTGATACTCAAAAAAGTTGTGATTGTGATTGTGACTCAAAAAAGTAAAACATAAAGGCACTGAGCGCAGAAAAGAAATGCTCTTAAACTTCGCTCTGCTTAAACACTGGGTCTAATGTCCTTCCTAACCTGATTTAAACTTCGGTGCCTGCTTGGGGCTGGAGAGAGAGTCCAGTAGGGAAGGCACTTACCTTGCACACAGCTGACCCGGGTCTGATCCCCGGCATCCCGTAGGGTTCCCTAAGCACCACCAGATGTAATTCCCGATTGCAGAGCCAGGGGTAACCCTGAGCATTGCTGGTGTGGCCCCAATCCTTAAAAGAAAAACTCATACTTGAGCGTGGGGAAACACACACGCACACAAAAGAAAACTCATTCTTTTTTTTTTTTTTTTTTTTTGCCTTTTGGGTCACACCCAGTGATGCACAGGGGCTACTCTTGGCTTATGCATTCAGGAACTACTCCTGGCTGTGCTCGGGGGACCACATGGGATGCTGGGAATCGAACCCGGGTTGGGCTGCGTGCAAGGCAAATGCCCTACCCTCTGTGCTATCACTCCAGTCCTGAAAACTCATTCTTGAGCTTGGGGAAACACACACACACACACACACACACACACACACACACACACACACCCTAGGTGACCATGCTTCTCACCTTTAAATTTGCAGGCAGGCCTGACTTTATTCTATTTCAGAGATTATGGACTTTTCTTGTTTTGTTTGTTTGTTTGTTTGGAGGCCACTCGTGGCTCTGTGCTCAGGGATTGCTTCTGGCAGGCTCGGGAAGGGCTTTGGTTCTGGGTGGGCAGGCCTGGGGCTCCTCGCTGACCCTTTGGTTGGAGTCCTGGGCCAGAGCATTTTCAGTTCGGGGCTCGGTTCCTGATCGGCCAGGGTGGGTGTTGGGGACACTAAGAGCGTTGGGCAGGAGATGCAGCTGTGGCCAGCAGATGTGAGTGAACATAACAGACCTGTCACTCTGCTGGGAAGGCCGTGGCTTTGCTGGCCTGCAGCCCTGGCCCCCAGCTCCCAGCCACCCCGAGAGGTGAGGCAGACGGTACTAGCATGGCAGCTTCACCACACCAGCCCGCGTCTTGCCGTGTGTGTGTGTGTGTGTGTGTGTGTGTGTGTGTGTGTGTGTGTTTCACCTCAACTCCTCTCTCTCCTGCAGACTGCCCCAGCCCCAGCCTGGACACGTCGAAGGAGTCCAAATCAGGTAAGGAGGGTTGCTCCGTGCCGCGGGGTCTCTGCAGAGCCTCCGTCTGAGCAGGGGTCAGCAGAGGCTAGTGTGACTCCTGGACAGTGGTGGGCACTGTCATCAGGTGAGTTTCGCCGATTAGGAGACTCGCCCAACAAGTGAGGTTCGGTGGACAGCAGGAGCCGAGGGCTGGCTCTTAGAGGCTTTGCTTGTGCGAGATTCTGGGTTCGACCCTTGCCACCACCCACCCCTCAAACAGACAGACAAACCCCCCCCCCCAAAAAAAAAAAAAAACCAAACAAACCCAGAAGCTGCCCTAAGCAAAGTGGAGAATTTATCTGCAGGGCATTGGGGGCATTTTCTAAAGTGAACATTTGCCCTAAAACAAGATCTGCCAGCCCGGGTCACTGGTGGGTTCTTGGCCAGGGCAGTCCTGGGTTGCTTCCTGGAGGAGGGGATGGTGCCTTGAGCTCTGCTGGGGGCCTGGAGGCTGCAGGCAGGGAGAGAGTTTTGCTCAGGAGGGGCAAAGGGATGGGGGTGCAATGAGCAGGGACCTGAGGACCAGCAAGGCCGCTCCAGACCTCACGACAGACAGGCAGGCAGACAGACAGACAGACAGACAGTACACAAGGGTGCAGGGGCATTTCAGGGGACCCAAGTGCAGCTTGGCGCCTGCCAAGCCCTCAGAGGCTGTCGCATGGAAACGGTCAGCGTGGTTTGGGGCACTGTGTGGGCTGACACCCTGGCCGGCCGAGCCCCTACCCTGGAGGCAGGTCTGGCTGGGAGGCAGGGCAGTGGGCCTCGGAGCCCACAGAACCCACCAGCGTGTCCCAAGACTGGGGGTTGGGGTGGGGGGCGATCAGGGTGTGAGGGGTTCCAGTCGCCTTAGAGCAACAGACAGTGGGGCTGGGAGCCGCGTCGCCCCAGCCTGTGTGAGGGTTCCACACCGGGATGGGAGAGGAGAGACCACCAGCTAGACCCTTCTCCCGGCCGGTCTTCAGCCCCACCCATCGCTCCCCTTTCCTATTTTAGCAGGTGCATTTGGAGACTGTTAGGGTGCCCTGGACCTGCAGCAGGGGACCTAAATGCTGTGGGGACAGCTCTGTCTGCATTGGACAAGGGTCAGAGGGCCCGGAGGATGCTTGCTGGGGGCCCGGGAGGGATCATTCCTGGGGCCCGGGAGGGGTGCGTCCTGGGGCTGTGAGGGGCACGAACTGGGATGTGCTCTCCCAGAGTTGCTGGGCACTGTGGGTTGTATCTGCCCCGTATTTGCCTCCTGACTGTTGCCGCCAGTTTATATGGGAACTTTTTGGAGTGGGGTCCCGGGAATGACAGCCCCCCTTGCCCCCATATGGTGATTTCGGCAGCCCCGAGTGATCTGAATGGGCATTTATTAGTTGGTCTTGGGGCCACACCCAGTGCTCAGGACTTAACTCTTGGCTCAGTGCTCAGGGTCAGGCTTGGGAGGGCTTGGGGGGGCCTCTGCAGTGCGAGGGGCTGGAAGCTCAGTCCCCCCCCCCCCGGCCCAGAAGCCGCTCCATTCCTGGCGGGCTCCGGGAGTGGGGCGACACTTGGGTGCAGGTGCTGTGTCCTTCCAGGAGAGGCCAGTGCAACCGTGTCCAGCAGCAGTGCTGAGAGCAGCTCGGACAGTGAATCAGAGTCAGGTGAGTGGTGCTGACTAGGACACGCACTCAACCGGGGTGGGGGTGGCGGCCGCTGCCCGGGGACACACACTGACGTGGGGGTCAGGGTGTTGACCGGGGGCGCATGGTGGCCGCTGCCTGGGGACACGCGTCTCTAGCGTGGCTCTGCGGTCTCCGTCCTGGGAGGGTCCTTCCTGTTGGCCAGCGAAGTGGCCGACAGGGCAGGCTGGGAGAGGAGCAGGAAGTGGGCGCTGCGGGTGGCAGGTAGACGTTTGGCCGTCCCTGGCGCTGACCCGTCCCTGCGTCTCTTTTTGTTTGTTAGATAATGAGGAACCCAAAGCAGAGAGACCGAGTAAGTATTTCCTTCCTCGGAGTGTGATTTGTGGTGGGCGGGCACGACATGGCCTGGGTTACTTTTGTCTCTGTGCAAAGTTGCCCCAAACTCGGCCGTGGCAGGAAGCGGCAGGGGACCCTTGGCCGGAGCTGGACACTGGTGGATGCCGTCGAGGAGGGGGGCTTCCTGCCCGGGAGGGGGGCTTCCTGCTGTCCTCGGCCCCTGGGCCTCCTGCACTTCCTGGCGCACTGCCGGCAGCAGAGTTGGGGCGATCTGCTCGGGGCGCTAGCGAGCGCCCAGACTGCCCACGCCAAGAATGCAGCTTCCGGGTTCTGGGGGGCTCTGGATGGTGCTGTGTGTGCTGGAGGCCTGCAGTCGCCCAGGTCCGCAGCCTGGAGGAGAGGTCACGTTGGACATCCAGGCAGGAAAATTGCGCCAGGCCCTCCCTGTCCCTGGGGGGCCGGGGGAGGCATGAGTGGCCCGAGTCTCTCCTCAGTCAGAAAGGGGAGACAGGCTGCATCCTGCAGAGGACCCAGGGACCCCCAGACCTCGCTCTGGGCTGGGAGCCCAGTAGTTTGATCCCCAGTAGCCCCTGAGCATTGTGGGGTACAGCCCTGGAGGCCCCCAGCACCCTCAGTAGCACCTCGCCCTTGACCCTTAACCCCTGCCAGAGCCTGCCTCGGGGGTCACGAGTCACCAGTGGGGCCCTGCCCCCCCAGTATGCTTGGGCTCCCCCCCCACCCGCCAAGAGGGGAAAGAAGAGAAGAGAAACCCCCTGCATACGGGAGAAGGGGGAAGTCGTGTGTTGGGATCGGCTCGGTCCTGGGGGTCGTACGGGGAGCAGCCCAGGGGAGGGTCTGTGTGGGGCTGGGAGCCAGGGTCACTGGCCAGAGCACGCATGTACCCCGAGCCCACCCTTGTCTCCACAGCCGAGGACCTGGGGCAGCCATCCACGGAGCAGGTCCCCACGCAGGGTGAGAGACAGCGGCCTCCGAGTCCCCTGACGCCGACCCCCAGACTGGGCTGTGGGGGCGCGGGGTGCAGGGCTGGGTGGTTCGAGCCACACAGAGGCGTTGGGGAGACCCTGCAGACCCATCTCCTCACTCGGTGCTGAGAGGGCGGGGGCCTTCAAGAGGGCGCCTGTTGAATCTCGTCTCTTAAGTGCCTGGCTTGGCCTTGCGTGTTTCCCTGTCATTTTGGCCATGTGTGTAGAGCGTGTTTCTCTCTGCTGTTTCGGTCATGTGTGTAGAACATGCTTCCCTCTGTCATTTCGGTCATATGTGTAAAGCATGTTTCCCTTTGTCATTTCGGCCTTGTGTGTAGAGCGTGTTTTCCTCTGTCGTTTCGGTCTTGTATGTAGAGCTCGTTTCCCCTCTTTCGTTTTGGTCATGTGTATAGAGCGTGTTTTCCTGTCATTTAGAGTCCCAGAGGATCCGGCCGGGCTGCGAGCACTGTAATGCGGACATTGTGAGTACCCTGGGTGGCATGCTCAGGCCCCGGGGCCTGCTGGACGTGAGGGGTCGGCATCTGCTTCCTTGTCACTGACCAAGTCCTCCTCCTCCTCCAGAAACTCAGCGAGCAAGTGACGCCCAGGCTGCTGTGCAAGGGGCAGTTTCTGTAAGTAGCCAAACTCAGTCGGGCTGGCTGCAGTTCATGGGCCACCCCGGCCTTTCAGGCTCACCCTTCTGTGCTCGGGGGCTCTCCTGGGTCGGCCTCACACCAGGGAAGTGCCTTGACCTGTTTTGTCCCTGGGTCCAGAAGACATAGTACTGGTAACTGAATTTCCTCTGCAGAATTCCAGCTGTGGGGGGAGGGGGTGGTAAGGGAGATTTACCGTACACCACATCAAGAACAGTTTTTCCCCCTTTGGGGCTCAGAAGGCTCTGTGCTCGGGGGTCTTTGCTGGTGGGGCTCGGGCAGCTCCGCGTTCTTGGAGCTAGAACTGGGCCTCTTGCGAGCCGCACGTGCGCTCCAGCCTGTGGAGTGTCTCCCTGGCCCCGCGGCTCCGACTGGCGCTTCCTCCGGGGAAGTATCCTGCAGAGTGACAGTTTCTGTGTGCAGATGTGAGCGTCACACACTGCGGGCTGCAGGAGGAAGCAGTGAAGGAGCGTCAGGTTTTGTGGTCTGGAAAATGGAGTTTGGCTATGGAGTAGAGCAGCTAATAAAGTATCTAGATATCATGGATACGGTTTTGAGACACGATCTTAAAGTATGTTAAGCCAAAAAAAAAAAAGCCATGCAGAACCAATACAGATAGAGAGGCTGAATGTTCATATGCATGTGTAGGTCCATATGTGTATGTATGTATATATGTGCACACACACACACACACACACACACACACAGAGTGTTTTTATGTCCAGGAGCTTATGGAAAGAAAAACGGGATTTCTGTTGAATGTGATAAGGGAAGTAACTGAGTGTTTGTAGAAATGTTTTATTTTACACCGTTAATATTGAGGGCTGGGACATGGTACAGCGGGCAGGGTCCTTGCCTTGTACACGGCTGACGTGGGTTTCATCCCTGGCACCCCATATGGTCCCTTGAGCCCCGCCAGGAGTGAGACCCGAGTTCAGAGCCAGGTGGAACCCCTGAGCACTGCTGGGTGTGACCCCCCAAAACAAAGCAAGTCAGACTAAGAGGGCCTCTCAGCTGATGCTCGTGACCGGGCCTCTCCTGGTTACACAGTCCTCAGCTGGGCAGCCTGACACGTCACGTGGTGCACAGACAGGGTGGAGGGGTCTCTGCACAGACAGGCAACCCCCCCGACCCAATTTCTTGCCATCTGTTAGTCTCAGCCTTTTTCCCTTTCATGCTTGTACTTCATAAGGTTTTCCTTACAGCAATAAAGATGGTTTAATTTTTAGAAATTAACCAAACAATTCCAAACACCCCCAAGAAGTCCAGTGAGCGAGACTGACCTCACGTCCGTGGGTCCTGGTTTCTCCGGATCCGTTTCACAGTGCACGTGAGTCGTTCCTTCGTGCTGCTAAGCAAGCGTCCGACCTTGTGTTTGTCTCTACCCGCTGCAGGCTGAAAGTGGACGGGGAGGGCACCTACCAGTGCACGGAGACCGGCCTCATCTTCGAGGTCACCCGGAAGGTGGACATCAAGTATTGCGTCCTGTCATGGAGCAAGTTCGCAGATCTGGTGGAGAAGCCCTGGTTGGTCGGCGGGCCCCTGTTCGACGTGAAGTGCGAGCCCGGAGGCCTCAGCTCCATCCAGTTCCCGCACTCCCTGTGTCTGGGGCGTAAGTCACGCGTGTCCGCCCTCCAGGGGTGACGGAAGAGGGTGTGCATGTGGGGGGACACGTGAGAGTGAGTGCGTGTGACTGTGAGGGGGTGTGCACGTGTGTGAGAAGGCATGCATGTTTGTAGCCTATGAGTGCATGTGTGAGTGGGGAGGTATGAACTTGTGCATATGAGCACACGTGTAGCTTTTGAGCACTGAACATATGTGCCCATGCGTGACCATGTATGTAGAACATGAGAGTACATGTTGGTGACCCTGTGTGTGAGCACATGTGGGCAAGTGCACATGCATGTGCACATACAAGCATGTATGTATGTGAGCACGTGTGAACTGGGGTCCACTGGTGGGTGCATGTGAGCAGGTCTGCACGCTTGAGCACGTGTGTGAGTGGGGGTTCACATGTATGGTCAGCCGTGCATGTGTAGCATGTGTACGAGTGGGTATACGCAAGTGAGCATGTGGGAACATGCATGTGTGCTTGTGTGCATGGGTGGCCATTGGGTGTGTGTGGGCTGTGCCGTGTGTGTGTGTGTGTGTGTGTGTGTGTGTGTGTGTGTGTGTGTGAGCAGGGCCCCCTGCTCTGGACGGGGCCGCTCTGGCATCACCTCCTGGCCTTAGCAGATCATGACACGGACATGACCTTCCGGGTGTTCCATGTGAAGAGCTCCGGGGCGTCCCTGGAACACGCCGTGGACCACTCAGGCACGCACGTGACGTGGCGTGTCAGCTCTCTGTCCCCCGTGGGGCCCGTCATCCAGAGTGAGGACGCCGTCTCCCACCACGGGGCCGTGATCCTCTACAAAGCCATCGACCAGAACCCGTCCTTGTCCTTTCGGGTCTACATCGCCACCAACAACGAGTCTTTCATCAAGGTGGGGCCGTCCAGGGCATTTCCACCTGAAGTGCGGGGGGAGGTTCTGGGCCGCCAGCCGCCTGCCCCTCAGTGCACCTGGGACCCCATGGCCAGGAGCGCCTGGGACCTGCGGTTGGGAGCCCGCGCTGCTGAGCTCGGTGCTGCCTTGCACGCCAGCCCCAGCCTGAGAGCCCGTGGGAGGCAGGAAGGTCAGCGGGAGCTTGGGAAGGCTGCCACGCAGCTGGGCCGGGCTTCCCATGCCACGAGGCAGCGGGGTTTTGTCCAAGACCGAGTCAGTGGCCGCCCGGATTAGCTTATCTCACTGCAGGCTCTCGGGACAAACAGCCTCTGGGTTCTGGATTTTGCAGCTGTAGACCCCGAGGCTGGGTGTCCTGAGGCTGCTTTCCGGGCTGTGAGTGAGTGGGGGGCAAGCACGGCTCCTGGTCTGCTGACTCTGCTCCCGTGGGCTGCTCCCGTCCCACCAGGCCAGAACAGGGGCGGGTGGAGGCGGGTGGGCACGAGATGGAGCCACAGTGGGTGGGGGGGGCAGGGGGAGGCGCAGAGAGCTGGAGGGAGCACACGCGACCGTCCCCCGCCTGGACAGTGAGTCATACAGGGGACCCCTAGCCTGGGTGTGACGTATACAGACTTCTCTCATCTGGGTGTTCAGCCTCTCCCGAGGAAGGGGGCTGCGCGTCCATCTTCAGAATGGTTTTTATTTTTTTTTTTTGCTTTTTTTGGTCACACCCGGCGATTCACAGGGGTTTCTCCTGACTCTGCGCTCAGGAATTACCCCTGGCGGTGCTCAGGGGACCATATGGGATGCTGAGAATTGAACCCAGGTCGGCCGCGTGCAAGGCAAACGCCCTACCCGCTGTGCTATTGCTCCAGTCCTTCAGAATGGTATTTAAAGGGGCCCGAGTGATAGTACAGTGAGGAGGGGCTCACCTTGCACAGGGCCCACCTGGGTTCTCCCTCCAGCATCCACCGGGCACCCGGAGCCTGCCAGGAGTGAGCGCTGAACACGTGTGGCTCAGAAACCACAGGCCAAAGCAGAAGATACCCTCTGAGTATCATCCGGTGTCGATTTGAATTTGTTTTATTTTGGGTTTGGAACCACACCCATCGGTGCTCAGGGATTGTTCCCGGCTCTGTACTTAGGAATCTTTCCTGGTGGATTGGACCCGGGTTAGCCGCACACAAGGCGCACTCCTGGCCCTCTGTGCTGGGCTCCGGCCCCCAAGCAGGGAGGTGTGGAGTCGCGCTGGCGTTTAGTGCGTTTCCCAGACAGTTGCCAGGCTGGCATTAGCCCACTTCCTGGGAGGGGCAGCCCTGGGGGAGGGGCTGCTGCCCGCACAGGGTGGGGACAGCGGAGGCCGAGGCCGTGCGCAGGATGGGTGCAGGCAGGTGGCACACACAGGTGACCTGCAGTGCAGGTCAGTTCTCGGCCATGAGCCTGGCCGCTGGCACTGCCCGCTCGTTGCTTGGGGCCAGGTGTGTGCATCAGGGCTGTTCCCTGGTGGCTGCTGACGCCTCAGCCCCTGAAGGCGGGGGCCGCGGAGCTCCTGCCCGGCAGATCTGAGGGTCAGCACGCCCCTGGACGCCTCCACCCTCCCGCTGCTGCCGACGAGCCTGAGCGAACCCGTCTCGGCCTAGGATATCTCCAAGTCGGTCAAGCATTCCTCGAAGAAGTTCGTGAAGATCGACAAGCCCCCGGTGTGTCAGAAGAAGCTGCAGAACGGCAAGAAGTACAGACTCATCAGCGAGCCCGAAGCGGAGATCACGCCCGAGGTGGGTTCAGGCGCTTCCCGAGGCCCCAGGGCCATACGGTCTCTCGAGCATGCCGAGGGGTCGACCCAAAGCAGAACAAGAAGCCCAAGAGGTGGGGGGGAGGGGCCTCCGGGAGGCAGGTGGCTGGAGGGCGCTGGGACCAGGAAGGGCCCCAGCAGGAGGGCGGGATGTTTGGTGTCGGAAAAGTGGGTGGCCTGGAGTCAGGGCCCCAGGTGGGGGTGTCCCAGGCTGCAGAGCTTGCTTCACGGCTTGTTCCTCTCCCTCCCGACGGTCTGGTCAGCGCCACGGGGCATTGCGCCCACTCAGCTGTCCAGCGCCCTGGACACGGGGTCCGGGCGGCAGGCGCAGACTCACGCCCCCTCGTGCCCCTCACTGTGGGCAGTCTGCAGCCTCAAAGCTGCTGCTCGCTTCTGCCCTCCCTGTGCAGGGAGGCTGGTTCGGGCGCACTGCACAGCTGGCAGTGCCCACGGTGACTCCCAGCTCTGCACTCAGACCTCACTCCAGCGGCTGGGCGCAGGGACCACAGAGGGACGCTGAGGGCTGGCCCCGGGCCTGCGTGTGAAAGGCCACGTCACTGCCGCTGACTGTCACGCCAGCCCCTTTCCTCGGCCCCTGCAGGGCAGACAGACACCTCTCTCTCTCTCTCTCTCTCTCTCTCTCCCTCTCCCACTCCTCTCCCTCTCTCTCCTTCTCTCCCTCTCTCCCTCTCCCTTCTCTCACTCTCTTTCTCTCTCTCTCCCTCTCCTTCTCTCTCTTGATCTCTCTCTTTTTCTCCCCCACCCCACCTGTCTCTCTCTAGGAAATTGAATTTGTGGACGGCTCGCTTTTAAAATTGAAGAGTTACATCGAGGTGTATCTGGAGCAGCCGGTGGAATTCAAACTGCTGTTGGTGGAAATGGATTCCGAGGAGATCGTGTGGAAGGCGAAGCTGAGGGAGTGTGAGTGTGCGGGGTCTGGTGGGGGGCGGGGGGTCAGCCGGTTCTGAGGCCCCCTCAACGTCTCCGGGCTCCGTGGTGGTGCAGTGTCGGGCCGAGAGCTTTGTGTCTTCCTTCCCAAGGCTTGTGCGTCCTCGGCAGGGCAATGACCGTCCCGTGTCTGAGTGCCTGCTGGCCCCAGCTCTGGTCCCTGTCCTGTGGGCTCCTGGTCTCAAGTCAGCAGGGGGCGGCCTGGTCTCCGGAGGGGCTGACGGTGTGCGGCCGTTCTTAGACCGGGGCCTGTGGCCGGGAGGTCCCGCGGGTGTGTCTGGTGGAGGAGTGTGGCCCTGCCATCGGGCAGCACCGGGAGGGGACGGGCCTTGCCCCTTCTCGTCAGCTTACAGCAGAACCAAGATGTTTCGGCCCGCAGCTGACGGGAGCTTGTCTACTTGAGGTGGGGTGTTTTTTTGTTTTTGTTTTTGGGTCACACCCGGTGATGCACAGGGGTTACTCCTGGCTCTTCATTCAAGAATTACTCCTGGCGGTGCTCGGGGGACCATATGGGATGCTAGGAATCGAACCCAGGTCGGCTGCGTGCAAGGCAAACGCCCTACCCGCTGTGCTGTCGCTCCAGCCCCTACTTGAGATGTTCTGTCTTTTTGGCCGCACTGGCGGTGCTCAGGGATGACCCTGGCAGGGCCCCTGGCACCATGTGGGACGCTGGGGATTGACTCGTGTCAGCGAGGCAGATGCCCCCCTGGCCCACAGCCTGAGTCTGATCAGTGTCCCCTCGGGGGCCCGTTTGGTGTGTTGGGGCCGCACCCAGCTGGGCTCAGGGCTTTCTCCTGGCGGGACTCGGGGCCACAGGTGGGACCAGGACATAGTCTGGGCTTGGGCACGCGTGGGCACAGGGTGTCCCCGCAGTCCTGGCCTGCCCTGCCCAGGGCCCTTCGGCTGCTCCCAGCGCTCCTCCCCTGGCAAGCAGCTAAGCCTGTCGCTGTCTCCTTAAGCACACGGACCCAGGACCAAACACGGGCACCAGTGGGCCAGACCACGGCTTCTGGTCGTTCCGTTTCCTCTCCTCCTGGTTCTGAGCAGGGCTGGGGCTACTTGGGCCTCACCCCAGGGACCTGCCCTTGGCAGCTCTGAGGGAGGCTGAGCGGACGGGGCACGAGATGCTGCCTGTCCCGCTTCTAACCTGACCCCCTCCGCCTCCAGAGCAGCCCTGGGCATAGCCGTAGCCTCCACTCTGCTGCCCGCGTGGGCCTGGGTGTCCCTGGCACCCGGTGGCCTGAGCAGTGCTCGGAGTGGCCCCGAAGGCCCCGAGGATGGCCTCCTGCAGCCTCTCGAGTCTTGAGTCTGCTGCTTCCTGCCGGGTGTTTCCGGAGCAGAGCCTGGCCTAAGGGGCCTGGGGGGCATCGCAGCCAGACGCCCAGGGAAACGGAGCGAGGGGGGCCTGCCCCTGGTGACTGAGGGCACGACCTGATCGTGGCTGGCTGAGCTGACAGGTGCTCGCCAGAGGCTTCCTCGGCTGTCAGAGTTGGGAGGTGGAGGGTGGGCGCCGGACATGCAACAGCACAGTGGGTGCCCACGTCCAGCCCGGGCCACTGATGTCCAGCCGGGCCACTGGGTGCCCAGCGCCCGAGCCCTGGACGGCGGTTTCTCTGTCCGGCCTGCGCCCACCCCCTGATGTGAGCTGGGCTCCTGCAGGTGACTGGACCCAGCAGGATCAGAACCGGAACACCCCAAAAAGCGGCCTGAGCGGTGAGTGCAGATGTGGGGGACACGGACGCCAGCCGGCTTGTCCCGGGGCCCTGGGGTCCCCCGTATTGGAGCAGCATCCCCAGGGGCGAGTTTTTCACTGATTTCCCTCCAGGGGCGAGTTTTAAGACCAAAGTGATAGAGGGGGGTTGGGTGGAGGGTGCCCAAGGGAGGGGGCACACGTCCCCGCCACGGCATGGCCCTGCACCCCCAGAGTGGTCCCAGGCTCCCAGTCAGAAAAGGGGCCCACGGGGCGAAGGAAGAAGTGGGGCACGGGCGGCCTTTCAGGATACGGGTGGCCTGCTGGGATACGGGGGCCTGTTGGGACACGGTGGCCTGTCTTGCAGGGCCCCGGCGCCGGAAGGGGAGCCTAAGTCTGCCTGAAGAGGGCGCCTACGAGAAGCGGATGCGGCAAGGTGACCCCCCAGGTGCGTCTTCCCCCCACACACACACCATGCAGCCGACTCAGCCTCGGGGATCCCTCCCAGGGCGCCTGCTCCCGGGACCTGTGACCCAAGTAGGGGCTCCCTCACGCTCACACCCCTGCCTGGCTCTCGAAGCCTCTGGGGGAGATGCCTAGTCACCTCGCCTTCAAACGGCAGCCCCAGGCCCCCAAACCACAGCCCCACAGCCCCCTGCTGGGTGCAGTGCTGAGAGGGAGACACACCAGGAGCGTTCCTGGGGCTAAGGCCCCGGGTGTCAACACTCAGAGCCACACTCAGGGGCCTTGGGCGCCCCCCACACTCCTCTCTTCACCCAAGTGTTTGTCTTTCGGTTTTTAGGGTCCTGGCTGGCCATGCCCGCGGGCGGCCCCTGGCCCAGTGGCTGGTGGTCGCCCCAGGCCTCCTGCTCGGACTGCTCGCCTGCCTCCCCGGGCTTTTCCTGCTTGGCTCCGCACAGCTGTTGATTGGCACATGAGCAAGGCCCCAGGATTGTTTTTAAAACCTAATTACATTTGGGCAGTTTTGTCCTTTAAGCTGTGTGGAGATAAGGCTGATGAGTGAAACCATTCCTGTTCAGTGCCGCCCGTGACGGCTTGATATCTGTGCATGAAAATTTCCCTGTCAAGTTCATGCACACATTCGTCATCTTGTAGGCTCGCTCACTTGCTTGCTTTCTCTTTGTTTCTTTCCTTTCGGTGGAGGGAACACTTTTTACAGTCTACTCTCTTAGCAACTCTCATGTATACAATTAAAAAAATTACTAGTGTAGCTTTAACGGCATATGACAGCGTAGTATCACTAACCGTGGTCCCTTGCTGCATGTTCTCTGCCTAAAACATACCTTGTAACCCAGTGGGGCACAACTCGATGTTAAATCGACTTATAGGACAGTTCTCAGGCTATTTAAAATGAGTTCCAAAAGCGCGCAGCTAGACATAGAATTTAAATGTCAGATACCGCCTAGAGAGAAAAAGGGGTCCCCCAAGCTTCTGGCAGCTGACAAGGGGCTTGGATAAATTAGTTGACAAGGATGTCCTTGGCTTTAAGTATTTCCACAATATTCTCTGAGCTGTCAAGCCAGTTGCCTGGAAATCAGTGTGTCCCTGGGGCGTTTAAACATAGTCCAGACTCACCCAGACTGGAATCGTGAGATCTTATTAACATCTAGGCTCAGGGCTGAGCACTTGCCTTGCATGAGGATGCACCTGGTGCGATCCCAGACACCTCCTGGTCCCTTGAGCACGGCCCGGGCATACCCCTGGAGCACCACCAGTATGCGGTGGTCCACGCCTCTCCCTCGCTCCCCCCCCCCCCCCCCCCCCGAAAAATAAAGGGGAAAAACTTAGGCTGAAACCTTTAGACATGACCGCAGGGCTGAGGGTCTAAGGACAGGTGTCAGGGGGAAGGGACAGATGGGGCCCTTGGGGGGTTGGGGCGCTCCAGGGGGAGCATGGTGTGGCCCCACATAGTACCCCCTAAAGCATAAACACATCCTTCCCGCTGACCTGTGTCAATCAGCGAAGAACAAGACGACGGGAAGGAAAAAGGTCAGATGCAGTCTGAGGATTAGCTACGGGGAAGTGGCCTCCGCTCTGCCTGAAGCCACCAGAGGGTGCAGATTCCTCAGATCCCTCCTCGTAGTGGGATTCCTCCTCGTAGTGGGGCGCCCTGGGTTCTAGGGGAACACGTGAATGACAAACCCCTTCCTCGAGTCCGCAGCATGTGCTTCCCCCGGGCGCCAGGAGGTGGCGGCAGGGAGCCCGGCGGGGATCCGGCCGGTGGCCGCTTTGTAGGGGGCCTGTGCCCGCGCTGGCCCCACGACTACGCCGAGAGATGCAGAGGCGGGAAGCGCACGGCCAGCTTCCTGATCCCGTGCTGATAAAAGTCGGGAATTTTGGTCTTTAAAAAAAAGTCCCACGTCTCCTGCGGCCGCTTCTGTAGCCGCCTCTTCCCCGGGTCGCTGAGCTGCTGCCAGCCTCTTGCCTGGCCCAGCATGGCCTGGACTCCTTCCCCGGTACCAGGAAGTGGTCCCGGGAAGCGGGTCTCCTCGGTGCTGGGTCCTGCGGGGTGGGCATTGCCCTGCGAGCACCGCGTTGCCGCGCTTCCCCCCAGCCCCCCGCCCCCAGACTACAGGCCCGACGCACGTGCTCGCCGGCCGGCCGACCGACCGCTGTCCCGTCCACTTCTAGAGGGAGCCAAGGCCAGGACCCCGCTCACGGACGCACAGCTCATCACGCTGGCCGGGCGCCTGGGCCCCGACTGGGTCAAGGTTGCCGTGGCCAACCTGGAGCTGGACATGAGCACCATCGACGCCATCCTGGAGAAGAAGGAGGACGTGACCATCTGCAAGTTCAGAATGCTCAAGAAGTGGCAGGAGAAGGCGCAGGCCCACGCCACTGCCCAGAACCTGTACAGCCTCCTCAAGGCCGTGGTCTCTGCAGAGGCCCAGGAAGTGCTCGCAGGTGAGTAGGGGTGTGGCCTGCCGGGCGGGGGCGTGGCTTGGCGCTGGGGGCGTGGCCTGCTACCTAGAGGTTGCACGAGTGGGGCGTGGTCTGCTGCTTGGAGGCGTGGCTGGTACAGAGGGGTGTGATGTGATTGGGGACGAGGTGTGGGCGGGCATGCTGAGTAGGGGGTGTGGCCTTCCGGGCGGGGGCGTGGCCTGCCACCTAGAGGTTGCACGAGTGGGGCGGGGCCTGCTACTTGGAGGCGTGGCTGGTACAGGGGGTGTGATGTGATTGGGGACGAGGTGTGGGCGGGCATGCTGAGTAGGGGTGTGGCCTTCCGGGCGGGGGCGTGGCTTGGGCGTGGCCTGCCACCTAGAGGTTGCACAAATGGGGCGTGGCCTGCTGCTTGGAGGCATGGCTGGTACAGGGGGTGTGATGTGATTGGGGACGAGGTGTGGGCAGGCATGCTAAGTAGGGGTGTGGCCTGCCGGGTGGGGGCGTGGCTTGGCGCTTGGGGCGTGGCCTGCCACCTAGAGGTTTCACGAGTGGGGCGGGGCCTGCTGCTTGGAGGCGTGGCTGGTACAGAGGGGTGTGATGTGATTGGGGACGAGGTGTGGGCGGGCGTGCTGGGTAGGGGTGTGGTCTGCCGGGTGGAGGCGTCGTTTGCTGCTTTGAGGTGTGGCCAGCTGGATAGAGGCGGTGCGAGTGGGGTGAGGCCTGCTGCTTGAAGACGTAGCCTGGTACATAGGAGTGTGATGTGATTGGGCGCTGAGATGTGGTGGGCGGGCGTGCTGAGCGGGGGCGTGGCCTGCTGAGTAAGCGTGTTGCGGAGCTTGGGCGTGGCCTGATACAGAGACGGTGGGTGGGCGTGGTGAGCAGGGGCGTGGCCTGGGGCGCAGGGGCATGATGTGATTGGGGGTGCAGTGTGGTGGGCGGGCGTGGTGAGCAGGGGCGTGGCCTGGGCCGCAGGGGCGTGAAGTGATTGGGGGTGCAGTGGGGAGCAGGGGCGTGGCCCAGTGCTTAGCGTAAATGGATGTTGCTTGGGGAGCAGGGGCGTGCCTCTGTGGGGTTGGGGGTGGGTCGTTTTCTTGCATCCTGGTGCTGTCGAGGTGCTGGGATCCCCAGCCTGATAGCTCTGCAACCACGCGTGTTCTTCACCTCCCAGCCCTGCCGTTCCAGCTGTCCGCAACGTGTAGTCTCCCTGCCCAGATCTGCAGCCTGGCTGCCATCCTCATCTTCTCATTGTGGACTTGAAATGGGGCTGACTGGGGCCTGCGGGGTCCTGAACTCTCGAGGCGTAGGGAAGAACAAACAGCTCAGAGAGGGTGCAAGGGGACTGGTTCTGGTGGCTTCCGTGAAGACGCAAAGTTGTTTCCAAGGCATTTGTTTTTTTCCTTCTTTTTAAATTTTTGTTGGTTCCAGGCATGAAGCCCAGGACTTGTGCAGAGAGGGATGGCCCCATGGGGGGCAAATATGTGGCCTCCAAAATCAAGTTTGTAGGCGTGATACTGTAGCCAGAGAGCTAGCGTGGGGCTAACGGGCATTGCCTTGCACAAGGAGGACCCGTTTCTGTTCCCAGCACCACCCAGTATCTTCACAAGTGATCCCTGAGCTCAGTGCCAGGAGTAATTCCCGAGGACAGCTGGGTGTGGCCCAAAAATGAATGAATGACTAAATGAAAAAAAAAGATAAGTAGTATCCCTTCTCACGACACCTTGCTGCCAGAGGTTTGTCTTCCTTGAAGAGTGTAATTGTTCCCAAGCAAGCTAGACCAGCTGCTGGAAGTACGGCTTTGTCATTGGTTTCTGTCTTTTTCCTGCGCTGAGGTTGAATTCCAGGCTGGATCAGGCAGGCAGGTGCCCGCCGCTCCCCACACCCCTGGTTTTCTTTTCCTCTGTTGTGTTGTCTGCAGTGCTCGGTGCTGAGCTCAGCTGTTGGGAGTGTTGGTGAGCGCTTGTTCACTCCCGCCTGTGCCCAGTGCCGGCCCCTGGCCCGCCAGCCTCTTGCAGGCCTGGGGGCTCCTCCGTTCAGGGGCTCTGATCCACCCCACCCCCAGCTGGACTTGCTGATAAGTGAAGTTTTACGAGGGATTGTGGCTCTGTGTGGTAGTAAGAAGGATCAAAAAAGTTCATTAGTCCTTGGGGCTGGAGCAATAGCACAGCAGGTAGGGTGTTTGCCTTGCATGCAACCAACCCGGGTTCGATTCCCAGCATCCCAGATGGTCCCCCGAGCACCACCAGGAGCAATTCCTGAGTGCATGAGCCAGGAGTAACCCCTGTGCATCGCTGGGTGTGACCCAAAAAGAAAAAAAAAAGTTCATTAGTCCAGTCTCCTAGTAAATAGGGGAAAAAATGTGCATTCAACACAAACTAAATTCCCCAAGTTCACCATTGTTTTACCCTTTTATTGTTGTTTTTGTTTTGGGGCTACAATACTCGGGGTTATTTCTAGCTGCGCACTCAGGAATTCACCCTGGGTGCTCAGGAGACCATGTGGATGCCAGAGATCAAATCCAGGTCAGCCACGTGCAAGGCAAATGCCCCCCTGCTGAACTGTTGCCCCCCCCCGGCCCAAATATTTTACCCTTTTGTGCTGCCCCAAATAGCAGAGTAGATGTCTGCACTTTTTTGTTTGTTTGTTTGTTTGCTTTGATTCATTGGGCCTCCCAAGGAAACTCTGGGGTTCCTCCCTCTCCCCCTCACCAGCCGGGTACTGGGGATGGCCCAGGCATGGTCGAAGCAAGTGCTTCTCTGTGCCGTGTCTCCGGCCCCTGCCATGAGATGTTGCCTGGGCGGCTGCATGAGCTCCCCGGCCCTGGAGTGGGTGTTCACCCTGCCACATCCTCTTTGGGGGTGTCCCGGCCACAAGCCCTGACCCATACCCTCTCGCTAGGTTTCTTACAGGAAACGTGAAGTCTGCACGGAGGTCCTGAGCATGGTGGACGGAGGAGCCCGTGGACGGGTGGACGGGTCCCGCCGACTCCTGCCTCACAGGCTGGGGCGAGGTCTTGGAAGGCAGGTGGGGACGTTTAGGAAGGGGGAGCCCGTCCCTCTAGCACCCCACCCTGTGAGTGAGGAATCACGTGAGCCCTGCAGCCTACAGTGCACACCAAGTGCTGGAACATTCTTAGCACGGAATGGTGCTGTCCTTCAACCTGCTCCCCGTTTCCACACCGACGGAGGCCACGCGCCTAGCTGTCGGCTCAGGCATCCTGCAGCATGAACCACTTCAGGCCCTGTGTTCTGGGCCATCCTGGGCCAGGCCTTGGCCCCTTGCACCTAGCCCTGCTCCCTGGCCTGGAGATCGGGACCCATCAGAGCCCTCCCCAGCACCTGCACCCCAGCCCAGGGTCCCCGGAGCCCCTTTGGTCCCGGGCTGCTGGCCAGACACTACGTTTGTTAACTTGGACCCTGGGATCCTGTACTGGGCTGGGGGCTGCTTAGAAATAGGCCTGGCGGGACCCCCTTCTTCCTGGAGAAGACACACGGCACTTGGCCACATTGGCTCTGGGGAACGGGGAATTTTTTTTTTTTTTTAAATCTTGTCTATGTATTGTCGCTCCCTGAGAATCATGTCTGTGGTGATTAACGCTTTGGGGATGTTTTAATTTATTTGAAGAAACCAGGCGTGACCCCCGTCTGCATGGACCTAGCTGAAAACCTCAATGAATTCACCAGAGAAACGCTTGGGCTGGGGTGTCGCCCGCCAGGACCAGGTTCACGTTGCCGGGACAAGTCTGTTCTTCAGGGCCAGGGGGACTCCCGTCGGTGTTCGTCTCCCAGATCGTGACTTGTGCTGGGTTGGGCACTTGTGGGCGGTGCCCTCTGTCCAGCCAGGGCGTGTCCCGCGACCTGGCCATCGTGAAGTCTGTTGTGCTGTTCTCCGGGGAGCAACGTCCAGCCCCAGGACTATGTCCGGCTGGTGTGGCCTGTGGAAGGGGGGGTAGGGAATAAACCTTCCTGGTGCCAGGCCCTGTGTCCCTGTGTCCCCTCCTTCACGCTGGAGCCCGGGAAGTCTGCACGTGCCTCAGGTCGCCATGGACAGTGCCAGGAGCTGAACGTGTGCTCCCAGGAGGGGCCCCGAAACCCCACGCACCGCCTCCTGCTGTGCTGCGATGCTGGTCGGGCACTGCCACAGCTGCGGGCGTGGGCAGGGGTGGCCGGAACCTGGCTGTGCCCTGACTCACTGCAGCATCTCTGGCCCTCAGACTTGGTTTCTGTTTCTTCTCAGGGAAAAAATAAACCTTCCCAGAGGGCTTTTCAAATGTGGAAGCTCGTTTCTTCTCCGTTTTCTTTTTTCTGGCTCTGCACTCAGGAATTACTCCTGGCGGTGCTGGAGGACCATATGGGATGCCAGGGATTGAGCCCGGGTCGGCTGCAGGCAAGGCAAATGCCCTACCCGCTGGACTATCCTTCCGTCCCCTCTTCTCCATTCTGTTTTGGGGGTGTGTTCAGTCCTTTTGAGAGGGGCGCCCATGTGGTGCTCAGGAGGTCCGGGGGCCACAGCCTCTCTGGGCTGGTGTTTCCCTACAAAGCCCTGGGCCCTGTCAGTCCTGGGGGTCCTCAGGCCACCCTCTGGGGGGGACCACGTGGTGCCAGGGAGCAAACCCTGACAGGGTGCTGTGACTGTCCCCCCGGCCCCCACCCTGCATTTTCTAGGTGCTTCATGTTTGCCGACTGCCCAGTGTGTCCCCAGGACAGGCAGGGCAGCTTTCGTGGACAGCCCAGCTGAGGGGTGTTTGCTGAGTTCCCGCCTCCTCTGTCTCCTTCCAGGGGAGCTGAGGGGGCCACCCCTGGCCGTTATCGCCCCCAGAGCGCAGGCCGAGGGGTTCTCAGTGTGGGGCGAAAACAGGAAAGTCGAGGGCATTTGCCCCAGGGCCAAGAATCCGGGGACAGTTCACAGGCCAGGATGGAGCCTGGGTCGGGTCCCCTCCACGCCAGTGGTTGTTCCTGGCTCCCCTGCCAGGGGTGGGAACGTGAGGGCGGGGAGCGGGGACCAGGAGCTTCCCGGCTACTGAGCCATCTCTTGAGGCACACGTGCTGGAACATTCTGGAACCATCAGGGGCAGGAAAGGGTTTCCCGGGGACCCGGGAGGCTGCTGCAGGCGTCCTCTAGGGAAACACTGCCAAGTGTTTATGTTCAGAGTCAGATACTCGAACCCTGACCCGCTCGGTGGCCTTCCCGAGGCTGTTTGAAGTGCGAGGTTAGAGAGAGGAGAGCTCAGCTGGGCTCTCTCCGGCCCCTCGACCACGCGGCCCCCCAAGAAACACGAGCTGCAGACATGGGGGTGAACGGGCAGGAGCCGACGCCACACTTTTATCCATGCTCAGATTTTCAGTCAGCTTATCCCTCCCAGTGACATTAAAAACAAAACAACACAAACGAGACTTTCAGTTCAATCATTTTATTTTTAGAGCAAAAGACGTTTCAATCCGCTTGATAAATACTCTAAATACTCTAATAAATAAAATAAATATTGCTGTACATGCTTTCATGAACATGTTCCATAAATAAATAGTTTAAAATAAATTATGCTCCGGGCTTTCTACCGAACTCTGGGGTTGAGAAATAGCTTATGAAACTTGGTGGAGCAAACGCCCCCACCTTCCCCGGTGCTCTTGGGTGGAGTGGGGGTGTCCCCCGAGCAATTTTCCCAGAGAAACTTAAAAACAATTTAACCGGGTGGCGAGATCTGATCAAAGCAGCTTGCTGGGGACATAATCTTTTTTTTTTTTTCCTTTTGGGTCACACTCAGCAATGCACAGGGTTACTCTTGCACTCAGGAATCACTCCTGGCGTTGCTCGGGGGACCCTATGGGATGCTGGGAATCAAGCCTGGGTCGGCCACGTGCAAGGCAAACGCCCTCCCCGCTGTGCCACTGCTCCAGCCCCCATGTAGACATTCTTGATGCCGGTCCCTTCCCTCTGGGCAGTGACTCGCTCGGCCGGCCCGCACCTCACCCCCCACCATTCCCAATCAGAATCTCGGGGGTGGGGCGGGGACCCCTAGGCGGCCAGGTGGGACATCACCCTGTGGATGGTCACTGCGCGGACGTGGAAGGCCTGGAGCAGGACGCAGAGCTGCACCTTGGCTCGGTACAAATCCGGTTCTCCCACGGCCGGGGCTTCAGGCTCCGACTCCCCTGTCAAGGTCAGGGCCTGGGAGGGAGGACAGGTGATCACGTGATGCGTCTGGCTCCAGCGGTGGAGGAAGCCAAGTCAGGGGCTACACTCTGCTCCCTCAGCACACTCCCAAGCCCGGCTGCTTGGCTCACACTCGCTAGCCACAGAGGGTCAGCTGTTTAGGTTTGGGGGTGACACCTGGCTGCGGGGGACAAAGCTGGTCCTCCCATCCTCAGCCCTCTCCCTGCCCCTCCGTAGCTATGCTCAAAGCATCTCGAAAACCCGTCTGCGTAAGTTCTGCCCATGTGGCCCCGTGGCCACACACATGTGGATGGTGTGCCCGCACATCACACGCTTTGGGCTGGGGGCCACCCTCGGTGATGCTCAGTAGTGAGCCTGGCAGTGCTGAAGGACCCTGCGTGGTGCCCGCCCTGCCCTGTCCTCTCTGAGCCCCATCCACTGCTCTGAGCAAGCGGTGGCAGCTGGCCGCCCTCCCAGCCCGTGCTCACTCAGGACCCCCAGAGCAGGACTGAGCCTGGCGCTGACCGACTTCCCACTTCCTGTGGACCAAAGCATTGACCAGCGCTTGCTGCCCAGGGGAAGCCGGACGGTCCCTCTCACTCTCACTACTGTGCTGGATCCCCGGCCGGACCCCCAACTCTCTCTCTCTGCCCGGACCAGGAGCAGCCTGGGTGCTGAAGGCCACATCCCTGCGCGTGCCTCTCCTGCCCTTCAAGCACGGCCTCTGCGGCCCAGAGCAGAGCCAGCATCGGCCCTTCGCGGCCGCCACCCACCGTCTCCGGACCACCCGTCCCGGGTCTCAGCTCTGGACCCTGAAAACCACTGCCCGGTAGGCGGTGATCAACACGGGGGCGCCGGGGAATGCGCCAGCCTTCGCATTCCAATTTGGGGTTGTTGTGGGGGGCTCCCACGCAGTGCCAGGGGAGGGGGGGGGGACAGAGGGGCACTCCCAGGCCGGGCAGCGCTCAGAGCCAGCCCGGCTAGGGAGCATGGGGCTGCCCACTGACGCTCCAAGGACCCCAGGCGGGAGCACTCAACTCCAAATCCTCTTTTGTGCTGCTATGCGGGGCGCGGGGGCGCCCGGGGCATGGGGCGCAGGGGGCCGGGCTGCCTCGGTGCTGCGAGAGGGTCCTCCGAGGACCTCCCTCTAGAGGGCGCCCTCGAGCCGAGCCCCTCGTGCTGGGACGCAGGAAAGCCGAGGGGGTAGGGGCGGCGGTGTGGGGTGGGGGGCTCTGCGAGGCGCTCCCGCGGCGGACAGGGGACCCCCGCTCACCTGCATCAGCCCCTCGATCGCTCCCAGCAGGTTCTGGTCCACTGAGATCTGCTGCTGCGGGTCCATCAGCAGCTTCGCATTCAAGGTCCTGAACTCCAGCTGGTACAGCTCCAGGTCCTTGGAGATGTTCCCCAGGCAGAGGGCGCGCTGCGGGGGGTGAGGGGGGAGGGTTGGGGGCACGTGGGAGGACGTGGGGCGGCGGGTGGATGCGGGGCCGCGAGTGGACGGGGACAGGGTGGGTGAACACGGGGCAGCATTCAGAGGACACGGGCCAGTGAGAGCAGACACAGGGCATTTGAGTCTGGGGAGTCTCACCATTCTAAGGGGGTCCTTCTCCCAGGGCAGGCAGATACTGTTCTGGAAGGAAAAGGCGCAGATGTCAGTGATGGGCAGCGCATTGGGTGGAACTGGACATTTCCGCTTGGCAGCACCTGGACAGCTGGGCCCCTCACATGGGGGGAAAGTCAGGCATACACACACACTCTGTCTTTTGGCGGGGTAGGGGTGGGGTGGGGGGGAGGGGTCTCCCAAGTGTGCTCAGGAGGCCCCACCACCCCCAGGGGATTCTTAGCCCATTAGATGCCAGGGGTCACCATCTCTGGGCATCCGGGGGGCTAATGGGGCAGACCCCTGGACTATCTCAGTAGACTTCCCGCCTGGGGCACCAAGCAGCAGTATTCTGGGGGTCTGACCCCAGCTCTGCCCTCTGCATCCCCCGAGTCCCCGGCCCAGCCGCATGTCGTCACGCGGGTCTGTCGGAAGCCTGTCCCGCTGAGCCGCCTCAAGTCTGACTGGCGCCTGAGGGAGAGTGGGGGGCTCAGACGCCTCCCAGTTGGAATCCTGTTGCTGCCCGTGACTCCCAAGTGCCCCCAAACACGCCTGAGGGCACCGTGTGGGGCTCCATACCGCGGCTAGCTCCCAGGGCACGCAGGTCTGGACGGTGCTGGTCTTCTCCCTCGTGATGTCCACGTGGTCAGTCTCCTCGGGAGAGCAGGGGTAAAGTGACAGGGTGTGTCTGGCCTGGTGGGACACAGAGGCCTGGTCACACCATGCCCGGAGAGGCCCAGAGTGGGCACACATCCGAGATGGTGGCAGGGGCTTGCTCCCACGCCTGCTCAGGGGTCTATGCTCTGGAAAACTTTGACTTGTTTCCTCTGGCAGGGAAGGGGCAGGGGAGCAGACGCGCACTCTGGGTGCTGCTCGGGGCTGACTCCTTGCTCTGTGCTCCGGGATTACTCCTGGTGGCACTCAGGGGACCCTCTGCAGTGCCAGGGATCAAACAGGTGTTGGCCATGTGCAAGACAGACGCCGTGCCCGCTGGACTCTCTCTTTGGCCACAGTCTCCAGAGTTTTGCAGAAGCAGCAGGAAATCTGGATCCTTCCTGAAAGCTCCACTTCAACCAAAAGTTTCAGCAGGGCCAGATCCACACGGGAGCCGGGTGGAGCACCCACCCCTCTCCCCCCGACTCCTGCAGAGGCCCAGATGCTTTGCCTGCAAAGTGGACTCCAGAACCATATAAAAGGGCCAGAGCCCGTCTCTGCAGGCAGGCAGGAGCTGGGGTGCTGACTCCCATCAAAAGCTGTTACTTTTTGTTGTTGTTGTTGTAATAATTAGCATTTTATTTTATTTTTATTTTTTTCCTTCTTTTTGGGTCACACCTGGCGATGCACAGGGGTTATTCCTGGTTCATGCACTCAGGAATAACTCCTGGCGGTGCTCAGGGGACCATATGGGATGCTGGGGATCGAACCCGGGTCAGCCGCGTGCAAGGCACTCGCCCTACCCGCTGTGCTATATCTCTCCAGCTCCAACCACAGTTGTTTTTTTGCTTTTTTGGGGGGGGTCACACCCGGCGATGCACAGGGGTTACTCCTGGCTCTGCGCTCAGGAATTACCCCTGGGGGTGCTCAAGGGACCATATGGGATGCTGGGAATTGAACCCGGGTCTGCCGCGTGCAAGGCACTCGCCCTACCCGCTGTGCTATTGCTCCAGCCCCCACAGTTGGTTTTTAATTACAATTGTTTGACTCCTGAGGAGCTATTGGCAGCATGTGGTGAAAATTGGAAGGAAAACGTTGTCTGGGGGACCCACCCTGCAGGGTTCCAGGTTCCAGGGTTCCTGGCTGCACTGAGAACCTCTCCTGGCTCTGCACCGCAGATGATGAGGGGATGCTGGGGACCGATCCCGGGTCAGCTGCGTGCAAGGCCAGTCCCCTACCTGCCATGCTCTCGCTCTGGCCTCAGTTATTTTTGGGGTGGGGAGGGGGGTGGCCTCCCAGTTGATACTTAGGAGGTGTAGGGACCCCACCTGCAGTGCTTGGGGGGAATCCAGGAAGTGAGCCTGGGCAGGGCGCACATGTCTTGGCCTGTCCAGAAGGTCCCCAAAAGGCTGTGTGGACAGTGCTGGCTTTAGGGTATTTACGAGCACCAGATAAGGCACATTCAGGGGCTTCTACAGATAGGACGGCTGGAAAGGAGGGACTCTGGCCCCAAGGAAGGGTGGGCGGAGACTTTTTTTTTTTTTTGCTTTTTGGGTCACACCTGGCAATGCACAGGGGTCACTCCTGGCGGTGCTCAGGGGACCATATGGGATGCCGGGGATCGAACCTGGGTTGGTCGCGTGCAAGGCAAACGCCCTACCTACTGTGCTATCCATCCAGCCCCTAGGGCGGAGACTTTTAAAGGGGAAGAAATTGCATTAAAAGCCTGAATGGATGAGATGAAGCTCAAGTTCAGAGGGAAGGCTCTGAGCCCAGGTGAAAACAGGGGCTTAGACCCCAGGGACGGCAGAGGCCACCTGTCCCCGCGGCCCCAAGCCCCAGGACCCCACAGACGCCCACCCCTCTGCTCCAGGCACAGGCCTGGCAGTTCCTCCACTCTCTCCTTTGCCGCTAGCTCCCTCCTTGCCCAGCTCGGACGCTGCTCTGGACTGGCCCTGAGCCTCTGGCTCCCAGCGCTGCCCACCCCCAGCCAGGCGGTGCCCCCTGCCGACTCACCGTCTGCAAAGAGGCCATGACTGCCTCCAGCAGGTTCTGGGCCCGGCTGAGACGCTCGGTCACTGCTGGGCCGTCCTTGGGGGTCACTGGGAGGCTCCTGGCCAGCCCGAGGAGGTCTTGGGGGCTTAGGAGGACCAGGGTGGCCACGAGGAGGAGAACTGGCAAGAGTGAGGGGCGCGTGGTGGGCTCCCCGTCCCCTCTGTGGGGCCCCCTCTCCCCCCCTCCCCCACCGGTTTCTGAAGGCGCCTTATTTTATCAGAGGGTCCAGCCCCTGCAAAGGACAGAGCTGGACCCAGAACGCCCCTAAATGTCACGCAGAGGGAACTTGAGGTCGGTGGGAAGTGACTCTGGACATCCCCCACCCCCATGTTGAACCCTTCCCTGTCCCCTAGAGCCAAGGGACCCCGGGACCGGCCCTCCCCCACCTCTAGCGCCCCGTGGGCTCCCCTGAGGTGCCCTTCTCAGCGGCTCCTGGCGCGCCCTGCCCTGCCCACGGCTACTCACGGCTCCGGGGGTGCATGCTGGGCCTGCGGGACACTGGAGGGATGGAGAGATGGGCCAGCGGGGCCGGAGGGTCACCGGGTCTTGACTCGCGGGCTGGACACCGGGCTGGACGCGGGCACACCGGATCTGGACTCGCGGGCTGGCACCGGGATGGACACCAGGTCTGGACTCGCGGGCTGACGCCGGGCTGGACGAAGCCGCAGAGGACGTGGCCAGCGTGGCCCGGCGCCGCCTTATAAGCGCCCCGAGGGGCTGCAGGACTTCCCCGGCGCGTCCCGCGCGCTCCTCTCCGGCCTCTGCGGCTCGCCGGGCCCGCGGGCTTCCTGGACTCGCCGCCTCCGCGCCCCGCCGAAAGCGAAATCGCGCCGCGGGGTCCCTCCCCGGCGACCCCCCGCGCGTCCCTCGCGCCTAGCGCCGCCCCCGGGATCGCCTCGGACTCCCGCACGTCGCCGGCAGGGGGCGCCCGAGCGCCGGCTCGCCAGGCGCTGGCCGGACCCCCGCGCTGGGTCTCAAGGGGCAGCAGGGATGCGGGGGGGGGGGGGGGGGGGGGCGGAGGGGAGTGGGGGGACACGGGGCGCCCCTGCAGTGAGGAGCCGTCGGGGGGCGCTGGCGCAGACTGCGTTTGCTCGGCGACCAAGCAGTGGTCCGCCCCGGGTCTCAGCGCCTCCACCCTCTGACCAGCATGGGCAGGTCTCGGGGTTCCGGACACATCCTCAAGGGTGCCTGCTCCTCCTCCCGGACAGAAGAGGGGGGAACTGCGCTGGCCACAGGGTCGGGGTCACGAGCTTGGGGGTGCTAAGGCGCCTCGGGGGGGGGGGGGGTCCCAGGGTGCCCAGGCCTCTGTCCACGCCACAGTGTGACCCCAGCAGGCAGGAAGCAGGCGGGTCAGGAGGGCAGTGTCTCGGAGCGGTCACCTCGCAACGTGCCCAACCCCGTCTGTGGCACTGGGCCTCGCATTTGCGTGGACTTTGATGGGCACAAATTGCAGCTGTGGTTGTTTTTGGCCACAAATTGCAGCTGTGGTTGTTTTTGGCTCAAGGGCCACACCTGCCAGTGCTCAGGGCTCACTCCCAGCTCTGTGCTCAGGGCTGACTCCTGGCTCTGTGCTCAGGGCCACTCCTGGTGGTGCTGAAGATTGAACCCGAGGTGCTTGTTCAAGGCAAGCGCCCAACCAGCTGTACTATCTCTCCAGGCCCCGGTTTACACTTTTTATTAATTTAAAATTTGGGGACCACACCCAACGATCCTTAGGGGTTCCTCCTGGCTCCGCACTCAGGAATCACTCCTGGTGGAGCCATGGATCAAACCCGGGTCAGCTGCATGCAAGGCAATTGCTCTCCTCGCTGTCCTACCTCTCCAAGCCCTGCTTTTATTTTTCAGTACATAGATGTGCTCTGTCGGAAGGGGTTCTCCGTCTTGTGTCTATTTCGTGTCTGCCACCCCTGGCGCCAGTGCCCCCTGCGTGTAGAGCATGCGGCTTTGGTTGTGTCCCATCTCTGTAGCTGTGAACTGACCGTCCGTGGCCGCAGAGTCTGTCTGTGCTGGCAAATGAGGTGAAAGCGGGAACCCCTTAGCCTGATGGAAAACGCTGGTTTGGGGGTGACAAAGGCTGGCCTCTGGGCCTCCTTTCTAGGGTCAATTCTGAGTTCCAAGCGGAAGTGAGATGTGTTTCCAAACAGACCAAAGATTTTGGTCTTGTGAATTCTCAAATAAGACGCTCCAGGGGCTCGAGGCTGCCACGACCTTCCTGGAAGGCAAGCCCTGGAGGACCTTTCCTCCCACACACTTTCCTTTCCTCTCTTGCTTTTACAGCTTGAAATGCTCCCGGTGTCCCAGATTTACCCAGTGTCAAGGGTTTCAAAGAGTTTTGCAGAATCCAAGTGGTGGGATTGCCCTGGTGACCACAGAGGCCAACAGTTCTGAGTTCCTTCTCCCGGCGCCTGGCGCCAGTGTCCATCTTCAGGCCATATTGAGCTCAAGCAAAAGATGAAGCAAATGTGTTCGCCTAAGGCAAGGCAAAAAAATTCAAAGGGAGCTAGAGAACTGGAGCAGTAGCACAGCGGGTAGGGCGTTTGCCTCGCACGAGCTAACCCAGGTTCGATTCCCAGCATCCCATATGGTCCCTGAGCACCGCCAGGAGTGATTCCTGAGTGCAGAGCCAGGAGTAACCCCTGAGCATCGTGGGGTGTGACCCAAAAAGCCAAAAAAAAAAATCAAAGGGAGCTAAACCCATTTCTTGCTATAGTTTAAAATGTTTTTGTGGGCTATAATATCTATTTCTCATTTAAATATGTATTTAAATCGAATCATCGTGAACTACAAGCTTCCCGGGTCTTTCGTGGCTGAGTTTCAGGCACGCCATGTTCCAGTGCCAATCCCGTAGCCAGTGTGCACTTCCTTCCACCAACGTCCCATTTCCTTCTTGCCCGCCCTTTCGTGCGCTGTGGTTTGCAGTCCTGTTACGGAAGGGTCTCCTGTGCGTCCCTTTCCCCCGCCAGCACCTAGTCCTGGCCCAGAGGCACCACTTCCCACTCTCGTTGTCCTATGGTCCCTTCCTGACTGATCCCGGGGCCGGCTTCCCGCAAGGCCGCTCCTCTCGCTCTCTGTTTCAGTCGCCGTCGGTTATTCCCCTGCGATGTTTCTTAATATCCCGCACCCGAGTGAGGTCATTCCCGTCTGTCCCTCTCCTTCTGACTCATTCCCCTCAGCGTGATGAGCTCCAGGTCCAGTCACAGATCATGACTTACCTACTTACCTATCATGAGAGGTGCCCACAGTGTCCATCCGCTGGAGCCTCTTCGTCCACTTATCTGGTCTTGGGCATTTCTGCTGCTTCCAGATGTACTTGAGCACTCACGTGATGAGTAGCACTGTAGCACTGTAGCGGCAAGCTACTGCAGCCTGGCAAGCTCCCCGTGGTGTATTCGATATGCCAAATACAGTAACAACAACAGGTCTCATTCCCCTGACCCTGCAAGAGCCTCCAATCATTGGGAAAAGACGAGTAAGGAGAGGCTGCTAAAATCTCAGGGCTGGGAGGAAGAGAGAGGTGAGTGGTGCCCTCCAGTAATTGGAAGATCAATGGGAGGACAGTGATACAGTGTAGCACTATAACACTCTCCTCCCATTGTTCTGTTTGCTGGAGCAAGGGGGCACCAGTAACTTCTCACAACCAATTGTGAGACTTTTTGTTACTGTTTTTGACTATCTTTCAGTGATAGCACAGCCGTAGGGCGTTTGCCTTGCACGCAGCCAACATGGCCGACCCGAGTTCGATTCCTCCGCCCCTCTCGGAGAGCCTGGCAAGCTAAGCTACCGAGAGTATCTCGCCCGCTCCCCGTGACGTATTCGATATGCCAAACACAGTAACAACAAAGTCTCCAATGGATGGGCCCGCTCGAGCAAATCGAGGAACAACGGGAGGGCCTTTACCTTTTTACCTTTTACCTTTTGACATATTGAATCTGTCATGGGTAGCTTGCCAGGCTTTGCCATGCAAATGAGATACTCTCAGTAGCTTGCTGGGCTCTCCGAGAGGAGCAGAGAAATCGAACCCGGGTCGGCCGCGTGCATGGCAAACACCCTACCCGCTGTGCTATCGCTCCAGCCCAGGTGATAAGTAATTTTTTTTTCTTTTTTTGGGTCACACCCAGCGCAATGCACAGGGGTTTCTCCTGGCTCATACACTCAGGAATTACTCCTGGCAGTGCTCGGGGGACCATATGGGATGCTGGGAATCGAACCCGGGTTGGCCGCGTGCAAGGCAAACGCCCTACCTGCTGTGCTATTGCTCCAGCCCATGTGATAAGTAATTTTCTACAAATGTATCATGAGATCGTCTCAATGAAAATTCTACATGCAAATTAAAAACTCACCCAGTTGTACACAGAGTCCTAGAAGCCTTTACATAAACTGGAATATTTCGGGGGGGAGTGGTACATGTGGCAGGATCAGAGAACTACTCCCAGCTTGGTGCTTCAAGGAATTACTTCCAGCAGTCCTCTAGGGATGGTGGGTGTGGTGCCAGGGATTGAACCTGTCCCTCATGGAACACATCCGTTCCACTCACCAAGCTCTCTCTTTGGCCCCTGGAATGGTTTTACTATTCCTTTTTTTTTCACTTCTTTTTCTTTCTTTTTGGGTCACATATGGCAATGCTCAGGGGTTACTCCTGGCTCATGCACTCAGGAATTACTCCTGGTGGTGCTCAGGTCACCATATGGGATGCTGGGAATTGAACCCGGGTCGGCCGCATGCAAGGCAAATGCCCTACTACCTACTGTGCTGTTTGCTCCAGTCCTTACTATTCTCTTAAAAATTTTTCTTTTTTGAATGGGGAGGAGAGGTTTGGGCTCCACTTGCCACGCTCGGGCTCGCTCTGTCTTTGTGCTCACTGACCGTAGGCAGTATCAGGAATCAAACCAGGTCTGGTTGTGTGCAGACAAGCTCCTTAAGCCCCATCTCTCAAGGGGTGTGTGTGTGTGTGTGTGTGTGTGTGTGTGTGTGTGTGTGTGTGTGTGTGTGTGATACCCAGCAGTGCTCAGCACTTACTCCTGGTTCTGTGCTCAGGCAGGGCTTACTCCTGGCGGGGCTCAGGGATGGAACTCAGATGCGTGCGAGGCTCATGCCCTGCCCCGCTGTACTCTGGCTCTGGGCCCTGGGATGGTTTTCTTTTTCTTTTTCTTTTTTTTTCTTTTGCCTTTTGGGTCACACCCAGCGATGCACAGGGGTTACTCCTGGCTCTTCGCTCAGGGGACCGTATGGGATGCTGGGAATCGAACCCGGGTCGGCCTCGTGCAAGGCAAATGCCCTACCCGCTGTGCTATCGCTCCAGCCCCTGGGATGGTTTTCTTGAGTGTACTGCTGGCCACATGCTTGTGGAAGGTGCTGCGATATCTCCCCCGAGAGACCGAGAACCCCAGGGTCACTGCAGATGCTTGAGAAGCTCGTCCTTAGTCATGAAAGATGCAGCGGTTTATGCCTGCTGCTTCTCTGACTGGGAATAAAGCACTTCCTGACCTGGAGCCGTCTTCCCCTTAATTACATCTGTGTTCCTCGAAATAAAGAAGACCA